TTTTTTTCCGTTCTTTTTTTCTTTTTAAATATGCCCTCAGTTCTTGCTCCCCTGTCCTTTGCAGGAAAAATAGGAACACTTGATTATGTTTTTGTGACTGCTCACAGGGCCCACCTGCTTATGGTAAAGTAATCAATAGGAAATAGAAAAAAGAAAAGCGGGACAAAATGAACAAAACGAAACAAACCGAACAGAAATGGTGTTTCTTTTCTTTCTCCTTTTGGCTTTATTTTTCATCAGGAAACGAAACAGGGGCTGTCTGTGATGTCACACAATCATCAGGGGCAAAAGGAAAAAAGAAAAAGTTTCCTAATCATGGAAACGAAGAGAAAACAATTGCTGTCGGGAACCGGTACTTTGCCAGTGCGAGTTGAGGACCGGTGAAGGAACGACATGACGCAGACTGGGGATCCGATTGGGATTGAGGACCTGTTTACACTACTCACTAGTCGGCACAGTTCGTGGCAAAACTTGGCGAGCGAAGAAAGCAGTTTCCACGGGGAGTCGGACACACAGGTGCACTAGCTTGCCACGGAAGAAGGTTGCCAAAACAACTCCAAAATGTAGTTTGCCTCAACTCCAGCCGTGAAGCTGAAATCCTTGCCAAGAAGACTTAGGGCATACTCACAGAGGACCTAATGACCAAAAGTCGCAAAATTTTTGACGCAGATTTGGGTCACATTGGGTCCTTGACACATATCCGCAAAGTGATGAAAAGGACTGAAATGGACAATGCAATGTCAGTGAAGCATCAACAAGCAATGTACATCCCAATACATACAAAATGGCACAATGCAGCGCAGCGGACCTGTCTGAGACTGACGCAACATCCCATCATACACCACACATGTGACAGGAAGAGGAGGGACCGCATACACAGAAGAAAAGGTTCCTCCTTGTACCCGTACATGGGGAAGATACCACTCATGAGAGATCGGGGGAGGGGCGAGACGAAGTTGGAGGCGGGGGAAAGACCAAGATCGTGATAGCGAAGTCCAAAAATAGTCCCTTTCCGAATGTCCAATCAATGTCTGCCACAAAAATGTCGGATCAGATCGTGGGCGCTATGACCGATGTAACCTCTGCCTGTAATCTCTCTGAAGAAGAAGAAGACGAAGAAGAAGAAGAAGAAGAAGAAGAAGAAGAAGAAGAAGAAGAAGAAGAAGAAAGAAGGACAAAGGAGGAAGGAGGGAGATGAGATGGAGGGCGAGACGAAGAAGAAGAAGAAGATGCATGTAACTACTGCCACCACGCACTGACTGCCGTCGTCGTCGTCGTCATGTGCAGGTCGTGCGCGGAGTCCCAGCTATGGCGCCTACCTCAGAGTCTAAACTCTGGGCGCAACGCTGCTTAGCGCTGCACTAGTCCAGCAGCCTGTCGCTCAAGAAGTGAGCTACTCCAACTGTGCCCTGCCCAGCCGAGGCCCAGCTATAAGTAGTGCTGTGCTCGACTGGGTGTGCTGCAGCGTGGCCTGAAAAAAAAACGGCCCGCATGGTTGGGGCCCCTACCGGGTGTCCAGACCATGCTGCTGATGCAGCAGGGCGCAACGTGCCCCTGGCCTCATTCGGCCCTGCCTCCTGTGTACCCAGCCCAAGGTTGTGCCTTGGGGACTCCAGGTCTGAAACGACGTCTGAACAGACAAAAATAGGACAGCAAATAAATAAATAAATGCTGTCGCACTACCGTACCTGCGGCCTAAGGGCCGCTGTGGGCCTCCAGGGCGTGTGTCTGATGGGCACACGGCCTGGCGGCCCCTCAACAACCGTCGGGCCCCTCGAATGAGGCCCGTGTGCAGGAGCAGGATGTAACAGTCCTCCTGCTACCCAATTGCACTTTTCGGTGACCCAAATGCCAGTGGCCTGTTAGGGCTGCTGGAGGGCCCAATTTGAGACCACCTCCGGCCTGCAAGGTCGCTGGAGGATCAAATGTCTTTTCAATTTTATTTTATTTTTCTGTGAGGTGATTGAATAAATTTTGTGCATGAGCAAAACAGCCCTGGTATCATTTCAACGTTAGGAAAAAAAAAAAAAAAAAAAAAAACACCCTTCATATACTTTTGGGGGTAAGCAGTACGCGCAGTTCCTGTGAGGTGCAAGATTCAGGGTCGCGACTCTGTCCTGTCTGGACAGAAGGCCCGGGTGACCACACGGGCAATCAAAGGTACAAGTACGTGGAACCAAATGCTGGAAATATTTGCGACTTTCCTGTAGTCCGTTTGTGGAGGTGTTGGAAGGATGTCCCTCCACGAAAACGGTCGTGACAGGTGGGGAAGTTGCAAAAGGCCATGGCACACGGGTACCGAGTTTGCCAAGAATTCTGACAACTTTTCTGACCCTCCAGTTTGGCAAGTAATTGTATCCATGCCCCTACTCGCCAAACTTAGCTATGGTAAGTGGTGTAACCACGGACCAGGCCCTGAGCCTTGAAACTTGTTGAGTACTTAATGGCCTCTGGACTCTGGAGGTTATTTTGAAATCATCTTTGTTCTGAATGCTATCATTTCTATGTAGGTTATTCTGTAGCTGGGTTATTGGACCCTGGAGCTGGGTTATTGGCCCCTGGATCTTATTGGACCCTGGAGCTGGGTTAATGGCCTCTGAAGGCTATTTTGAAATCATCTTTGTTCTGTAGCTGGGTTATTGGACCCTGGAGCTTTCGGCTTGTTCTGGCATATTCCCCATTGGTTAATTTTCATCAGTACGGACCCTCAGTCCGATTTTGTGGTTAATTTGATTTACTTTCACCAACGTAATGGATCGGCACTTGATTTTGGACTTGAGGTTTTGGACCTTACTACAGCATTTTATCCTTCTCCTTCTTCTTCTTCTTCTTCCTCTTCTTCTTCTTCTTCTTCCTTCTTCTTCCTTCTTCTTCCTCCGTCTTCTTCTTCTTCTTCTTCTTCTTCTTCTTCTTCTTCTTCTTCTTCTTCTTCTTCTTCGTCTTCTTCTTCTTCTTCTTCTTCTTCTTCTTCTTCTTCTTCTTCTTTCACCAAACCGAGTTTCCCTTACTAGGGGAGGTGATACGTGGACCTACCCCCAGTAGGATCTTTGGTTGCCCCATAGGTGGAGAACAACACCCGGTGGAAATCGGGTCCAGCGTCCCTGTACAACTTGCATGGGTCTTTGTGATTCAGGATGTTTCCGGAGAATGATACTGTGCACGGCTGCATTGATTGCCCTGAAGGTGGGGGATTGGCTAAGAGGGTAATAAATGTGACTCATAGGGGCCTCTTCAGCCCAGCTACTGGCCTCCAACATTCTGCCAACATGCCTAGCACCTCTGGAAGCTGTGAGCAGTTCCTGCCTTTCCTTGCTTAAACCCTGAACCCTAATCCTCATCTAAGCAGTGCCCACCTTTTCTTCCTAAACCCTGAACCCTAAACCCTTATCTGATGTTTGGGCTTCCTACCTTTCCCCTTGCCCTTTCCATCTCGGCCCAACCTTTTCCTTTGCCCTCGTCATCTTTTCCTGTCTTCCCCCTTGCCCTTTCCATCTTGGCCCATCCTTTCCTTTGCCCTCCTCATCTTTCCTAATCCATTCCATACCAGTTTCGATCTACCAGGGACAAGGAGTGGGGACAACACTTTATCCCAAACTATTGACTTTCATATAATCTCATCACAATTTGATTTTGATTCCGGAACCGGCCTCAATGCTAGTCGACCTTCAGTTCAACTTCGCCATGGACCAGATGGTGCATACATCAGCAGCAGTTTTAGTGTTCCTTTTTTTTTAACCCTGTTCTCTCATTGATCTTTTTTTTTTCTTCTGTCCCCTCCCCTCCCCCACCTCCACCCCCTCTCTCTTTTATGCTCAGGAAGCCCCTTCCTCTCTCATTGTCACTTGACTCACTTCTAAATTTTATCCCCTGGCGAACCCCCTGCTGCCTCCATCGGAGCACTCAGTACTCTACGTTGTGGACATCCACCAGTCAAGCGGATGATCATCACAGACTTCAGTGACAGGCACCAGTGCTGGTAGGCAGACCCAGCCCTAGTTGAAGCACTCTTGTGTGAGCCTTGTTGCACGGCGTACATCGGACGTTAGGTGCGTATCCTACAGCCCCCCTGAGCACAACATGATGGGCCCCCATCCAGGGGTTCATACCTAGAGTCTCCCTGCTTGAGCCTTCCCAGGCAGTGTCTAATGATTACCAAGGTCTAAGTACTACCCCTCTTCCTAGCGCAACCCTGTATTTTTTAACTACTACTGTTCTCTCTGCACTGTTCAGCTGCATGTTGTACATTTTTTTATACATATCCGTATCTATGTCTATAGAGGTTGTATCTCATCTATATATCTCTGAGGTCATAGCCATGCCCCACTATACTCCAACCATATTCAACTCCAGAGTCCCCTGTAAGACTACCCTGCCACCTACACAGCAGGGTCCGTAGACCCTGAAAACCCAGCTCACGTCCTGCAATTCAGGATAGACCCCGCCCCCTATGCTGCACTCCCTCCTGTTCAACGTGATGGTCCCATAAATCATGCATCCTTCCTGACGATGACCTCACCCCTATGCGGCACTCCCTCCTGACGATGACCTCACCCCTATGCTGCACTCCCTCCTGACGATGGCCCCGTAAATCATGCATCCTACTGGCCCTTTCCTAGATCGCTCTACCCTGCCTCAAACTCCTGTCTACGGGTTACAGGGCCTCCCCCTCCCCCCCCCTGCCCTCCACCACACACACACACACCCTTAGATCCTCAATAGAGAACAAGCAATCGAACAGAGGTCACACCATGGGTACAGTTCAAGTTTGCTTCCTAATCACTCATACGCGGTATGTACCGGGGTCAGTACCCAGCTTTGGCTTCGCTGGAAAGTGGGTCCAGTGTCCCAAAAGATGTCATGTCATGGCCAACATAAAGGAAGCCTGAACTGCCTAGATGGGTTTCCCACCACGCACCTTTCTTTTTTTTTTTCATTTTATTTAGGAAGTTCAGTTTGTTGTAGACGCCAGATTCCAACCCACGGTGGTTGCCATTGCGTAGGAGCGCTGGAAGCCACCACGCACCCTTAGAAACAACAGCCAACAAAACAGAGATCACCATGGGTACAGTTCAAGTGCGCTTTCTAATCACCCTTATGTTGACTACAAGCTAATAGCGCTACCTCTGCTAATGGTAGCACTTACACTGCCCCCACAGTGCCCCTTCCCATAGTCACAAGCTTAGCTTGCAGGCCGAATTCTTAGTGACTGGATATCAGAAGTTGTGTTTTCCAACAGTTTCAACAACAACAACAACAACAACAACGAAAAAAAAAAAAAGTTTCGACAACCCACAAAACTGGAGTACCAATTTGCAACCCCCCGAATACCAACCAAATCTACCCTTTGTTCGTCTTCTTCCCCCCACGGAAGAAGGTACGGAAATTCCTTTCGTCTTAAAGTTTGCATTTCTTTGTGTTCAACCTGCTGTTTGACCCCTGAACTGCCCTCCCTCTCTTTGGACCTAATTCTCAAGCTCACCTTTTCACCATTAGGAATGGGGTTACAGCTGTCATTCTATCTTCAGTAGATTCTGGAATGCCAGCCGATTGTGGGTTCCTCTCAAGGCAATTTAGTAAGTTCGAGAATGCAAAAAAAATTGATGAGTCTATGGATTCAATCAAAATTGCTTCATGGACTTTGAAGGGCTTAGCATCTCGAATCTCAATGGCCAAAAGGAGGGAAATCCATAGATTATTTAGTACGCATAAACTCCAGATTTTATGTCTACAAGAAAGTAAGTTGAACGAGTCTGGACTTCGTAATCAATGGTCTTGGTAGCGGGCCTGACAGGTTTGGGCTCCGGCTGAAAGCACACAGGGGGGTGTGGCACTGTGGCTATCCTCTTTGCTCCTGACTTTCAGGGCTCGATGCATGACGCCTTTTGGGGCTCCTGAGGTTGGTGGGCTTGGGTTTTTGGTCACTCTGGGTTCTGAGCTTGGTTGATTGCTACTGTTTTTTAAGCCCCCTTCGATCGAACAGAACATAAGTGGCTTTGGAGATCACTCACTACCAACTGTTCTCCTGTGGGCAGCTAATTTTGTTAGTACTGGAGATCTTAACCCAGTAGTTGATCCTGGGCTTGACAATCCAACATTTGGTCCTCAACAGCCACATGCCCAAGCCTTGGTCGCTGCCATGACCGAACTAGATATGGTTGATATATTTCGAGCCCGATTTCCGGATGATAGGAAATACACATGGTTTGGCCCAGGTCTTGATGACCACCACTCACGTAGTAGGATAGATCTTATTTGGGTTGAAGAGTCAATTGCTGAAGCATGTTCACTAGTTGACATTGTACCCACTGCCATGTCTGATCACTCCATGGTGATGGTACATCTTCAAGCTCTTAAAGCAAGGAGCAGGTCTCGCGTGATCGTGTGACCATCTCACGCGAGACCCCGATTCCTGTGTTGGGAACGCGCCGGGCCAGAACCGATGGGCCCACCGAGCAGGCCGAATCACGCAAAACCCCGACTTTTGTGGCGCTCGTCCGAAAAAAAAGCAGGGCAAGGCCGGGCCCAACCAAAACTCGGCTGTGACCAGCGGTGGTCCGTCGGCTGGTGCAAAGCGGGGCCAATGCGCGGCACCAGGAGAATTGGTAGAGAGGCGGGGCCTCATACGTGCAGAGGCGGATCAACGCGCAGCAGGTAAGAGGAGTGGGAGGAGGTGCAGGAGGAGGAGGCGAAGCGGGAGAAGGAGTGGGAGGAGGAGCGGACAAAGGAGTGGGAGGAGGAATGGGCGGAATAGCAGGAGAAGCAGCGAGAGGAGGAGCAAGAGGAGCAGGCAAAGGAGCAGGAGGAGGAATGGGCGGAATAGCAGGACAAGCAGCGGGAGAAGGAGGAGCGGGAGGAGCGGGAGGAGCAGCAGGAGGGGGAGCGGGAGAAGGAGAGGGAGGAGGAGTGGGAGGCAGAGCGGGAGGCGAAGCAGGAGGACAAAGTTGTGGTGGAGCAGTGGGAGGTCTCTCTCTCTCTCTCTCTCTCTCTCTCTCTCTCTCTCTCTCTCTCTCTCTCTCTCTCTCTCTCTCTCTCTCTCTCTCTCTTTGGCTACCCACGTGGTGGGCCTCTTTTCTTTTTTTGGGGTGATTGCCCGATAAAAAAGCCGGGCACGGCCAGGCCCAACCAAAACTCGGTTGTGACCGGCGGCAGGAAGTTTGTGGAATGGCGGTCAGTCAGCGGGTGCGAAGCGGGAACAACGCGTGGCACCAGGAGATCGGTAGAGAGGCGCGCCCGCATACGTGCAGAGGCGGATCAATGCGCGGCAGGTAGGAGCGGGCGGAGGTACAGGAGGAGGAGGAGAAGCAGGCGGAGTAGGAGGAGCAGGAGAATGAGCGGGAGGAGGAATGGGGGGAAAAGCAGGAGAACCTGGAGAAGCAGTGGGAGAAGGAGGAGGAGCAGGAGGAGCGGGACGAGCAGCAGGAGAGGGAGAGGGAGAAGGAGAGGGAGGAGGAGCGGGAGGAGGAGTGGGAGGAGCGGGAGTGGGAGAAGGAGAGGAAGTGGGAAAAGGAGCGGGAGTGGGAGGAGGAGCGGGAGAAGGAGCGGGAGGAGTACAAAGTTGTGGTGGAGGAGCAGCTGGAGGTCAGTCTCTCTCTCTCTCTCTCTCTCTCTCTCTCTCTCTCTCTCTCTCTCTCTCTCTCTCTCTCTCTCTCTCTCTCTCTGTCTCTGTAGCTAGCCACATGGCGGGCCTTTTTTCTTTTTTTTTCATATGAGATGGCTATGGCGTGATCTTTGTCACGTTGTTTGGAGGAGGAGCGGGAGGAGTGGGAGAAGGAGCGGGAAGAGTCGGAGAAGGAGTGGGAGAAGGAGTGGGAGAAGGAGCGAGAGGAGGAGCGAGAGAAGGAGCGGGAGGGGAAACGGAAGGGGCGGAGGAGGTGCAGGAGGAAGAGCTGGAGGAGCGGGAGGAGGGGCGGGAGGAGGAGCGGCAGCCTGTAGGGGAAACAGGGACTCGCGGGTTAGGAACGGGAGAAGGAGCGCGAGGGGAAATGGGAAGGGACGGAGGAGGCGTGGGAGGAGCGGGAGGAGGAGTGGGAGGAGGAGTGGGAGGAGGAGCAGGAGGGGAAACGGGGAGGGGGTTAACGAACGTGGGGGAGGCGGGTAAGGAAAGTGGAAGGAGGGAAGGGAGGAAAGGGGTGGGGAGGGGGAGGTGTGGACGGGGACCCACTCTCTTTGTCTCTCTTTCTCTCTCTCACACACACACACCCTGGCAATGAATCAATCAATACGAATCCGATAGATAAATTGATTGATTGATTGACTGATTTTCGTTTTCTGTCTGGAGCGCCGAGAGGGCGCGATCAGCTACAGCAAGTGGGGTAGGAGCCCTTCTTCTTCTTCGGCACCTTTGTCATAAATCAACGCACCTTCGCAAGTGCGGAACTTGGCCCAATACATAAGTGATGGGGGAGGGAGTAAGAGAGCGAGGGGAAAGGGTGGGGGCGGCGGAATGGGTGATGAGGGAGGAGGGAGGTTGACGGTACCTGCGAGGGCGACAAAGATGACGTGGATGGGCTAGAGAGAGGAGTAGGGGGAGGGGCGGCGGAGCTAGAGTGGTGTGAGAGAGCCAGCATAGATAGGTTGGTTGAACATCCGGAGGAGGAGGCGAGTTCCTTCGTGGGTGCCAGAGTGAAGTGCAAGTGTCAGGTCATTTATAGCATACGAATAGGTGCTTGAACCCTCCATACAGCAGCCCCAGGGAAGCAGAAAACACACTCTCTCTCTCTCACAGACACACACACACACACAAAAAAAAAAAAAAAAGCCCTTAGGGCTTCATTCCCCGTGCCCATGTGGTAGACAATAGGCTTCGACGTCCAGGTCAAGGTATCCCATTTTTGGGCGGCGGGCAACCAGCGCGTAAACAGGTGTGTTGGTGAAAGAATTTGTCTCACTTTCTTACAGGCGACCTACAGCTATCGCGCGGAGAACCAGTGTGGTAGCAAAATCAAAGGACCGTCCGTCCCCTTCAGTGTGGTCCACAAAAGGAGTACCGGTCGGTCGGTCCAGTCCCACAATTTGCAAGAGGCAACTTTGGTAATTTTTTGTGCTCAGAAGAATTAGCTGAAAAATCTGAAAATTTGAAAATCCATAGATTAGGTTGTGGTCTTTCCAGGAAAAATATCAGAAAAAAATATAAAAGAAACCAGTAAGACCGCGAATTATTGCACCAATTCAGCGCATTTTCCATTTTTGCCACTCTGCCATGTGTGGCCCAACAGAAAAAGTACTCCAATGAATTTTCATGCTCAGAAGAATGTGTGGAAAAATCTGAAAATTCAAAATTGTAGTACTCGTAGATTTTTTATTTTATCTTTCCAGGAAAATATTAAATAACTTAAAAAAAATCATTTGAACTGCGAAATAGATCGCAGCGGCAATTTGATCAATTTTCCATTTTTGTCATTTAGCCTCTCTCTCTCTCTCTCTCTCTCTCTCTCTCTCTCTCTCTCTCTCTCTCTCTCTCTCTCTCTCTCTCTCTCTGTGTGTGTGTGTGTGTTTGTGTGTGTGTGTGCAGTGGGCCTCTATCTGCCCTGGCCTGCAGGCAGAGCATATCGGGTTTTCTGTCTGTTCGGCCTGTGGGACCAGGCCGTGGCCTGACCCCACAAGCCGTGTGCTGTTCCAGTCCAGTCCAGTCCTGCCCGGTACCACTGTCGGTACCAGGTCAGTCCAGTCCAGTCCAGTCATTCCGCAGGGGGTATACCCCAGCTGTTGTCTGTTTTCAAGCTATTCTTGATTCTGCACATTTTGGAGTATATGAGTGTTGAGTCCGCGTCGGAGTTGCGTTGTCCCTTGATGGACCGCCATCCCGGCGGGTCCTCGTCATCTTGATGGACCGCCATCTCGGGGGGTCCGCCACACTGGTATCAGAGCAGGAACGTTACCTGCTCCCGCCCACCACAGCCCGAAATATGGTGTTAGACCCGACAACGGGTTTTTGCCTGTTTTTTGGGCTTTTCATACACAAACAGCGGGAAAAAGTGCAGAAATGTGCAGCAGCAAGGGAGCGATACGTGGTGAGAAAAAAGAGGTGTCGCCACGACGCTTGCGCGCAAGCAACGGGAATGTTCCCCGTTCCTACCCACCACAGCCCGAAATATGGTATAAGACCTGACAACAGGGTTTTGCATGTTTTTTAAGCATTTTCATACCAAAACAACGGGAAAAAGTGCAGAAATGTGCAGCAGCAAGGGAGCGACACATGGCGAGAAGAGAAAGGTGTCGTCACAACGCGTGCGCCAAGGCCAAGGCCGCCGCACACGCACACACACGTACCACGTGTCCACGCTGCCCCGCCACGTGGCAAGAAAAGAGAGGTGTCGTCGGCGAGAAAAGAGAGGTACCGTCACGACGCGTGCGCCAAGGCCAAGGCCGCCGCATACACACGCGCCACGTGCCCACGCTGCCCCGCCCCACACCTGGATTATAAGTATCAAGATCCGGGATGCATGTTGCTGCCAGGGTTTGAACCTGGGCAGCTGCCAGCCATGCGCGTGAATAGCCAACACCTTAACATACTAGCCAAACTTTGTGTATGTCCTTATAGTGCGGCACGCTGGTGTTGAAGAGTGTTGTGCGAGCTATTTACCCCCCCCCCCCAA